AGGACCAAAAACTGCCTCTTCCAGTCTGAAAGGAGTCCAATGTAGGACTTTAATATTCACTACATGACTGGTCTCCTCAGGAAGTGATGCTCAACATTGGGGGCTCAATATTGGCCTTAGCTATTAAAGTATTAGACATATGCAATGGCAGAAGCTAGTTCAGTTCTAAAAAAAGGATGCACATGTTATATAGCCCAAGCTCCCATGGCCATTTTGTAATTGGGCCTATTTGCGAGAAGCAGGGAGGCTGGGGAAAGAAGTTGACTGAAATTCCCAAGATATGCTGTCATGTCCATCTAATCACCATTTGTTTTATAGTGAATGCCCTCTGATAAGGATTTACGTGGGTCACAAATATCATCATTCTTTGAATATTGTATATGGTATATATTGCCACATTAAATCCAGACACTTACTGTCTTTGTTGCTAAGGATGGGGGAGAAAAGCATTTTCCAGATTAATAGCTGAGTACCTGATGCCAGGGACCATGTTGATTTGCTTCAACAAAGATATGACATCTGAACTTTCACCTGTGATTGGCATCACTAAGTAATTAAGTTTGTGATCAACCTAGAGTCATTTCCACGTTCCGTCTAACTTTTCGTACTCCAAACAAGTGTGTTAAATGAGGTTGTGACAGGGATCATCACCTCTGTAGCTTCCAAGTCTTTGATGCCAGCATGAATGTCTGAAAACTTCTCAGAGTTATAGCAGTGTTTGTGATGTATTATCTTGATGGAACGAGAGGAGCGGGCAATGCCACTGGCCTCCACTGGCCTTTTGTGGAGATGTCTAGCTTGAGTAATTGAAAGGACTCACAGGACTCTGCAGAGAATACTCATGTAATGCTTTTCATACGGAAAAATTAGAGCTTATAGAGTAACAGTAGGAGAAAGAGGATAAAGGTGAGCATCAAGGGTCAAAAAGACTTCCAGGCACAAATCCTCCGGGTCCATTCTTATTTTTACAGGGAAAACTTTGCCTTGGGATGTGAACAACCAAGATTTGTATGATGACTTTTGATTGATTGTACAAGGAAAAAATTACTAATTGGGCCTTTTGTTCTCCTCTAGTCCTTTAACCAAGCCAGCCCGACTCATGGGTTGCATCTGTTGCTGTAAGCCATCAATAAACAAAATGGCCTTGAAAGCTAATGGGAAAAGAAGGGGAAGGCTTTCAAACTTAAACACCAAATCATAGATCATTAGTCAGTCACTCATACTTATCTGGTCCCAGAGTTATTACTAGACTCTAGACCTCCATGAAGATAACCATGAGATTGTCACTATCCAGGTGAGGTGACCCAAATGGAGATTCTGTCAGGTACCAAGTGTATCTATAGTCGGGGATCAGACAAATAACATAAGATGATTCCATGATCCTACTGAATCCATTGTAAAAAGAAGTGCAGGCAAATCTTTACTTATCACTTGACTTTTATGAACTCTCACTCTTCCTTTTGTACCCTCGTGGTGTTTTGGGTCTCCAGAGATTAGCGTCAATTCAAAGTGATTATCAAATAACCTCTAAGATCTAGATATTTCTCTTTCTCCAGAAAGCAAAGCTCAATCATAAATAGACTCTGGGTAATTTAATCTATTAAAGAGATCTCATCTGGGCTTATATTGGAATCAACTTCTGATCAATGGTGAGACAAAATGTTGCATCACAAACCTGCTAAGCAATTAGAAGAGAGATGTCATAAGCAATGCTCAGAGGAAGAACTTGGCCATATGGATCACATTGAATTATATTTTCCAGTAAGAAGAAAAAAAAATGAATAACACCTCATAGCAATGTATTATATGGACTCAAGAATGAGAGACAGGTCCATGATCAAGTCCACATTCACAATCTTTCTGAGATGGGCAGGATTGGGTAGTGGGGCCATTGATCTATAATAAACTCTCACAGATAATGTATTCAACTTCCGTCATTGAGGTCTAAGAATAGCAACTACTTGATGACCAGCCTCTTCATCATCCGGTCTTATAAACATATAAAAGTAACATATGAATTCACTTTTCAAATTTTAGGATTCACTGGATGTATGGCATTGGGTTTTGTGAAGATCTGGAATGGAAATTTGCCACTAACTGCAAAGGGATGGTGCAGGAATAACACTAACAGAGGTGGTTGCTTCTACCTCTCACACAAGTAACATGATGCCAAAATGACACCTGGAAAATGAATTCTCCTTCAGTTCCTACTAGTTGTTGATGAAATAGCAGTTTTATATTAAGAAAGGAAGAAAGATCTAGTTTATTCCAAACTCTCCAGGAGTTTTAGGCCAACCCCCCCACTCCACCATTACTTGCAGATGAGATCTTATGTCTATGAGATCCTGGGAAAGAGACAGGAACTACAATGAGGCATGTTAATTAGCACAAAGGATCTACAGGGCAGTGGGATTGCTTTGCTTCATGGAACCATCATGATTTTATGATCTGACAGTTGCTTTAAGAGTGAAAGATAAGTGTCTGCATTTCACTGTGTCATATGGATTACGGGTATCATATATGAGGGGATTTCATCTGAATGGATGAAAGGACCATCCCTGGAGGAAATGATGGGTGGGAACTGAGAGTGAGGGATTAGGATCTCAGCCTCTTTGGCTAGGTTTAGATCCAGAATCCAGAACAATGGCAGTATTAAGTGGGATTTAGAAGCTAAGAACCTGGGGAGAAAATGAAAGTGAAAAGTAGAAGGTAGGTAGTGATTTCTCTCATTGTAAAAGGCAAGGAAGTTCAAAAATCAAAACGTACAACATTATGAATCACTTTTTATTCATAACATGTATAACATGACTTTTTGTTCACATATATATGCATGTGAAAATGTACAAAATATTTGCATCTACCTATTAGAATTTCAATTAAGTTATGATAGAGAAGAAACCTGAGTAGAGTTTCATAATATAGTCACACATGAATTGTAAATAGTTCAAAAATAATATATTTTAAAATGTTATTTTATCTGACTAGGAAAGCCAGAAGTCATTAAAGTCCTGAAACTTCTTCTTATTAACACTTAAACTGGAAAAAATATGATACATTACAAAGGTTTAGACTCTGTATACTAAAAATTATTACCTGAATTTTGATATATTTAATATAATGGTGAATTGATGATTTAAATAGGTAATTTTTTTTTTTTTTTTTAAGAAAAGCTTTTGTGGCTGGCCCCATTGCGTAGCAGTTAAGTGTGCGTGCTCCGCTGCTGGCAGCCGGGGTTCGGATCCCAGGCGCTCACCAACGCACCGCTTGTCAGGCCATGCTGTGGCGGCATCCCACATAAAGTGGAGGAAGATCAGCCCAGATGTTAGCTCAGGGCCAGTCTTCCTCAGCAAAAAGAGGAGAATTGGCATGGATGTTAGCTCAGGGCTGATCTTCCTCACACACACACACAAAAAAGAAAGCTTTTGTCTCTACAGCATAGAATGTATTCATCTGTTTTTCAGGGTAGTTCTTTTGAATAAAATCAGAAATTGCTAGCAAAACACGCAAATCTTGAATTTACTTTAATTCTTTTATGTTACATTATTTTATAACAATGAAAATGTGAAGGGACATCTAGACTTGACATAAAATCGCCAAAGTTTAAACTAGAATTTTAAAGACTATTAGTATTTGGGTGGTGAACAGGAGAACATGATGTAATCCATGCAGAAATAGAAGTATAATGATGTATACCTGAAATTTATACAATGTTATAAACCAATGTTACTGCAATAAACAAAAAATTTTTAAAAAAGAACAATTTTTATTGCCAGAATTAATAATTCAGCACCATTGTAAATTATTGCTTTGATTACATTAACTAGATATTAAACCAAACAAATAAGTGTTTAAACTTTTTAAATTCTTTACTTGAAAACATTGTAATTATTTAATTATTTTAAAATCTCATAAAATTGAGAAAATATCTTTTTTATCCTATATTTCTTTATAGTTAATTTCCCATCTAAGAATAAATGCTTATCTTCCTCTTATTTGTTTCACTATTCCTGTGAAAAACAGATATCCTCCTAATGATTTATTTTGTTCTAAGACAGAGCTTTAATTTTAGGTCTATTTAGGTCTTGTTATAAATATCAAACTCTGTGCTAAATCACTTTCTGAACTTGCTTAATAGATAATCTTATCACAGATTGAATGATTCTTTGACCTCAAGGACAAAGAATTGGCAAACATATTTGAAGAGAGTCTTTTTAGAAAAGACAGGAAGAGAAAGCCCTACTTCTAGTAAAATTCAACTTAAGTCTTCATGTTGACGTAGATTTCTGGCTAATGAAGTTAACTTCTTGTTAACTAAGTACTTGTGCCTGGCATTGTGATCAGGGTACAGTTTATGAGAGGATCAGGAGAAATGATGAGGGAAAGGAAGAGAAAGAAATTGGCAAACTCATTGAGTTTCTGATTAGATGAAGAAATCATCCCCATTACAAATAGCTCTTCTGAGGAATGCATTTTCCCTCCAAAGTATCCGCAGTGTAGCTAAGTAGTTTTACCTCTTCTTTCCAAATATGAATATTGTAAGTAAAACTAATGTAGGAAAGAAATTTTATAAAAATTTAAGTTACTTAAAAGGGTAGGTATTGCATTCAATCATTTATTTTTGCTCCACCATCCCATCAATCATGCCAAATTGTCAAAATCAACTAGTTCTCTGAAGCCACAAAGTGTTATAATATAAATCAGGTACTATCATCATTAGTTTCCAAATCAAAGGCACTCTTCAAACCAAAGACAAAAAATAGTATTTTGTATTCCAAGGACAACAAAGTCAGATGTGTCATATGAAAGAAAATTGGTGGTATATAACATGCTTCACAGCAGCATAGAAATCCTGCTGTATATGTAGGATGCCTGCTACAGTGTGGTTTGATAAGCAGTGTGGAGGATCTCACCTGGGATCCAAACCCACGAACCCTGGGCCACCAAAGCTGTGCCTGTGAACTTAAACACTACACCACCAAGCTGGGCCATTATCATCTCTTTTTAAAAATTACATTACTTAAAACCTTAATTCTAAATCATGTGGCCAACTCCTTGGAAGAGTCTTTAATCTCTGACTTGATAAGCTGAGGAACAGACAAGAACTTGGAAGAGTAGGAGAAGATTCTCTTCAAATCAGTGGCTGGATTAATTATGATGGGCCTGATCAAGATTTCCAGCCAAAGTCAAAGAAAACTAGTCTCTCTTTTTCTTCTTTCCTGTCTTACCAAACTTCCAGCAACAAAACAGGCAACATTTTGTGACCAGAAACATAACAGTTGCCACACATGCTAGCAAGAACCCAATCACATCCAAAGAATGGTACTGGTACCAGGTGAGATTGTGGGAGGGTGGCCGCAGGTGTTCGGCTCCTTTGTGGCGCATCACAAACTCAATCCAGAAGACTGCTCGGTCCAGGGGCTTCATAGGCTGATCACGGTGAATTCTTGATAACTTCATAGCATTCTCTTTATAGCTAAAATGATTGGATACATAGATAGCAACTTGAAAAATTCATTAAGAGCTACTTCCTAAAATTATGTTATATATCACTAAAAGTATATTATATAATTATGTAATAAATGTATCATAGATGATATCATGAAGGCCACAGAATGCACAGTTTATTTCCTCATAAGATATTTCTAGATAGGGTGGCCTATCAGGTGGAATTTGTTGGATGTTTCATAGTCTACATAATAATTTGCGGTAGGGGAGATATATTTTCTAATTGGAAACAACATTTAAAAAGTTCAGAAACAGGAATGTAGACTTTGTAGGTTGAGAATACAGAATTTTGATCTCATTTGCTAAGTGTGGTGTTTGGAATAAGATAGTGACAGGAAGCAGCATTGAGGAGCAGGTCTGTGATAAAGAAACCCCTCACTTTCCCCCAGATTTGGTCTGGAGTGTTCAAGCTCATGATAAGCTAGTCTTCAACAGTAGCAGGTAATGGTTTCTGTCTGTGGTCTTCATGGCTCTGACATTTCAAACCAAAACAAAAAGCTTAATGTGAGCCTAGAGGCAAAAAGTAGGGGCTGGGAAAGAGTAGATACTGGAATCTTTGCTTCAAGCTACAGATGGATGCAAGTGCCAGTGGTGAGAAGGGACAATGACAATAGCAAGATGGCTAACTCTTCTAACTTCATTCAAGGAACAAAAGCCCAGGCAGGGGTTTCGGTTTAAGGTTTTGCATGGCTGACCTAGAAGAAGGATTTCCTTGGATTTGTGAAGGAGGTGAAGGAGGGAATTTTATTTTTTTACACTGAAGTGCAATCATCATTTGAGGAGAAGATAGAACATTAAATTGTAGAAAATCATGGAACAACATGTGGAAAGATCTGAGGAAAAGAATTGTGCGTCAAGAAAATTATACAAAGCCCTGTTGCCCTTTGCTTTTAAAAAAAACAAGGCAGGCTTTTCTTAATATGCAGGAATTTAAGGAATAAGTACCTCTGGATATAGCTCAGGAAAACAAGGAAACAACAAAATCAGAAGCTCCAAGACACATAACAAAGTATTTATCAGAGAACAAATTAAGAAAAACAGAAGCACTCAGTAATAGAAAGACTAAGATAAAACAATGGCATCATTAAATCCATAAAAATACCAAACTAAGGCTAAACAGTACTGGAAATTGTGGTCATTGACAAGTCATTCTATATTGACCAAAATTGTCAACACTTAAGGGATAATTATTCTAATCTCTAATGTCAATATTCATTTGTGGACATGTATAGAATTCTTAGTAAGTGATGTATCTATTAAAGAAATATTTATCCAAAGTCTGACAATTCTTTTAATTTTGCTATAGTTTCTTTCTTTCCCTGAATATATTTATTTGATTGATTTGAAATTAAGTGACATAATGTTATCATTTATTGTTGAGAATTTGTTAATTTATTTATGATCACAGTTATTTTTATTCGAAACGAAATAGTATTACCAAGTAACATCAAAATGAAAGGATGTTTTCCAGCTTTACTGAGATATAATTGAAATATAATAACATCTAATTTTAAAGTATACAATGAGTTGATTTGATAAACTTATGTGGTGCAATATGATTACAGCTGTAGTGTTAGCTAATACTTTCATCACATTACATAATTACCATTTCTTTTTTGTGGTGAGAACATTTAAGTTCTACTCATTTAGCAACATTCCAGTATATAACAGTATTATTAACAATAATCACCATGCTGTACAAAGATCCCTAAAACTTAGTCATCCTATACCTGTAAGTTTGTACTCTTTGACGAATATCTCTCCACTCCCTGAACCCTTAGATGCTGGTAACCACCAGAGTCTACTCTCTGTTTCTGTGAGTTTGCCTTTTTAGATTACACGTATAAGTGATACCATAAAGTATTTGTCTTTCTCTTTCTGACTTATTTCACTTAGCATAATTCCTTCAAGGTCACCCATGTTGTCACAAATGCCAGGATTTCCTTCTTTCACATGGTTGAATAACATTCCATTGTAGACATATACCATATCTTCTTTACCCATTCGTCCATTGACAGACACTTAGGTTGTATCCATATCTTAGCTATTGGCTGTTGTGAGTAATGCTGCAATGAACATCGGAGTGCAGATATCTTTTCCATATCCTGTTTTCATTTCTGTTGGATGTATACTCAGAATTGGGATTGCTGAATTATATAGTAGTTCTATTTTTAATTTTTTGAGGAAACTCCATACTACTTTCCATAGTAGCTACAGCAATTTACATTCTCAGCAAAGGTGAGAATGTGTTCCCTTTTCTCCACATCCTCACCAACACTAGTTATACCTTATCCTTTCATGATGGCCATTCTAACAGATGTGAGGTGATATCTCATTGTGGTTCTGATTTGCATTCTCTGATAATTAGTGATGTTGAGCACATTTTCATGTACCTCTTGGCCATTTGTATGTCTTCTTTGGAAAAATTTCTATCCAGTACTCCTGCTCATTGTTTTTATCCTCTTGGTTTTTTTATTTCTTTTGCAATTGACTTATATGAGTTCTTTATATATGTTGAATACTAACCCCTTTCAGATACATAATTTGCAAACATTTTCTCCCATTCCATAGGTTGCCTTTCATTTCACTGATTATTTCTTTTGCTGTACAGAAGCCTTTAAGTTTGATGTAGTCCCACTTGTTGAGTTTTGCTTTTGTTCCTTGTGCTGTTGTGTCACACCTAAAAAATCACTGCCAAGACTCGTGTCAAGGAGCTTTTCCTCTAGGAGTTTTATGGTTTCAATGTTACATTTAAGTCTTTAATCCATTTCTAATTAATTTTTGTGAGTGGTATAAGACAGTGGTATAGTTTCATGCTCTTGCATGTGATATCCAGTTTTCCCAGCATCATTTACCGAGGAGACTACTCTTTTGCCATTGAGTATTCTTGATTAGCTTGTCAAAATTAGTTGACTGTATATGCGAGGGTTTATTTTTGGGCTTTCAATTCTGTCCATTTGTTCTATCTCTCTTCATCTGTCAGTATCATTACTTTTTTTTTTAATACTATAGCTTTGTAGTATAGTTTGAAATCAGGAAGCGTGATGCCGCCAGGTTTCTTCTTTCTCAGGACTGCTTTGGCTATTTGGGGTCTTTTGTGGCTCTATATAAATTCCAGATTTTTTTTTCTATCTCTGTACACCAAAAGCCTTGAGAAGCTAATCACTCAACCTGTTCTTCCTTTCCTGGTGAGGAACTCTTTCTAGCTGGCTTGCGGATGGGATGATGCAGGTAAAATGAAGCTGTTCCTTCTCTTCTTGGGTGATTATTCTCAGTTCCTTTGTTTTACTGCATTGCTAAAATTTCTTGAGTGAACTCTAGAACTATCCCAGGGTTGATTCTATTCACGAACAACTGTCCAATTATTGATTTTTGTTATAGGTCAGACAGGCTAGGTCTTCTATGTCACCATTTAGACCACCCAATTTTACTTTACTTTCTTTCTCTTCTTTTAAATTAACGTATAGCAATATAGAATATTTTTTATTAAAAAGTAGCATGATCCAATATTTAAAAAATTATTTCTATTTTTTTTTTCATTTATAAATTAGCAAAAGGAAATATCTGAAGTAATATTTCTCTGTCAGTAATTAGTTATAGCTACAGGAGGCAAGGTAAGTGATTTTTAATTTTTGTTTCTCTATTTTTTCTTATATTGCTTTATAAGGGTAATATATGCAATATTTAAGAACTAAGCAATAGTTATTATTAATAAAAAATAAAGATTTGTGTCACTTTAACAATAGCTTATTTTCTTTAAATGACCTTAGTGTTTCAATGAGGTTGTGATCTATTATCAATTAATAGTAGGTGCATCAAAATGCCTACATCGAATTTGAGAAGTATAAGAAAATTGTACTCAATATCAATTACATGAGGGTGATTATTTAAAAGTAATCAATTTAAAATTATGAAAACTTTTTTTTTAAATAGTCCATGCTTTTCAGACAAGAATATATTCTTTACTCACGAAGGGTTGTTAATGACGGCCTTCATAGCGGTAAGCAGATCCGAACTCTTCATTGTATGCAAGTCTACTTCAACACCTGCCCCTTTGGCCTTCATACGAGCAATATTACCAAACTGATCACCAAATATGGGAATTCCCACCACAGGGACCCCATGGTAAATAGCTTCATAGATCCCATTGGTTCCACAGTGAGTGATAAAAGCTCTGGTTTTGGGATGACCTAATAGGAAAAAACACACCATTATTCTAAGTTGTGAAAGTTTCAGAAACAGAAAATCATGACACCTGTACAAACCATTGATTCAATTAGGCAGCATCTACTATACAATTCTGTGCTGTGAGGCCATATATAAAGTCCTCTAAACTCTAAAGAAACCAGCAATTATTTATTCCAGCAATTAAGTCATTCTATGAAATTCTGAGAACGTTTGTGTGGAGTTTAAATGATGGAGAGTAGTTTCCAGGTGGACAAGTTGTTGGGAAAATGAATATATTAATAAAAAAGAATGGAACATTTGAAGAAATGAAACTTGTGTGGGGATGTGGAAGGAGAGGTAGGATGTGCAGGGTTTCAGTGGGAGAATGTCAGCATAACAGGCTAGAAAGATAGACCAGGGCAAGTTCATAAAGTACTCTGTTTAAGAAAATGGGATTTTGCACTTGATTTTTTACTAATATGGAAACATTTATAATATTAGAAATGATAAATAGAGTTATCAGATTTTTATTTTCAAGTAGTTAGATTGGGGTAAAGAGAAGAGAGGTGGGAGAAAATGGATACAGAGAATCAGGAGATGCTGCAATATTCTATGCCAGAGTTAAAGAGAGCCTCATCTAAAGGTATGTTGACTCTGATTCTGAGGAGGGACAGACTGTATCATAAATGGGAGAATTATAAACTCCTTCTTAATGTTAGAGCTTGACAAAGATTCTCTCCTTGTCAAAACTCTAGTCAGACTCTTCTGAACTCTCTTCTCAACTAGGCCCTGACTTTGGGGCTTCTGTGTTTGTCTCTGCATTGTCTAATTTTAGCAAGAATCCTACTAAGTCAGCCTTAGTTTAGCTAGATTCTCCCAGCCTCAGTATCCAGATATCCCAGATCAGGATATCTGACCAACTTTTGTACCTGATCAGTTTCCTCATCGATCATAATCCCCCAGGTGATGTCTGATCACTCTGACCTGCCTTCACCAAGAATCTGAGTAGATCAGTTTAGCCAGAGTCTCTCCTTGCCCCCGAGGTTTCCCCTTAATTTTCTATCCAATGAACCCCACCCCACTCTGCTCCTTGGCTATAAAATCTCTACTTTTCGTTGTTGTATTCAGAGTCGACTCCAATCTCTCTGCCTCCCTGCAAGAGTCCATTGCAGTGGGACCTATGCTTATCATGATATTCTTGAGTAAAGTGTGCCTTCCAGTCTTTAACCAGCTTCATGAATAATTTTTTTCTTTAACAAGCTTCAGAAGAAATTAAAGAAGACGTTCAGGAGTTTTTTGCTTGTTTTGAATACAAATTTGTTGGATTTACTTGTTATTGACTAATCATTCAGATTATCCCTCATTCAACTTTGTTTAGTTTTGCTTCTCTTTGGTCTTACCAAGAAGATCATTCTGTGGAATCCATTCATATAGCCGTGTATTGGGTCCTAATGTATCTGGTTTTGTTCCTGTGTATCTCCACAGAACCTGTTAAGATAAATGCCTCTACTCTATTAGAAGATTTTCAGGATCACATGAGACATTTATTTAGAATTATTCTAGTTCAATGCTTTCATGTAACAGATGAACAAACTGAGGTCCTAAGAGATTAAGTGATGGGTGTTCTTAAACCATTGAAACTATGACTTCATTTAAAATGTTTGCAACAATCCTAATAGATAGGCCATGGTCATCAGAACCTTTCTCATTTATTAGACAAAGAAATAAAGGCAATCTGTATCTGAAATAATTACATACTGCTGTTAAGGGGCCCTTCTGGTAAAGGGAATTTTTTAAATGGAATTTTCAGAAGCAAAGGGAAAGGATGTTACTTTCACTCTAAGAGTTTGTTAGTGTTTCGAACATTTGTTACATACTTGGAGGTAACAGAGAAGCAATCATTGTATTTTTTTTATTATTGTAAAATATACATAATGTTATTTATCATTTTAATCTATTGTAAGTATACAATTCAGTGGCATTAAATATATCCACAATGTTGTGTAACCATCATCCTCATCTACACCTCGAAAGTTTTCATCATCGCAAACATAAACTCTGTATCGTTAAACAATAGCTTCCTATGCCCCTACTCCCCAGTGCCTAGTAACCTCTATTCTGCTTTCTGTCTCTGTGAATTTGAGTACTCTAGTACCACATATAAGCAAAACCATATAGTATTTGTCTTGTCCTGATTGGCTTATTTCACTTAGCATTGTGTCTTCAAGGTTCATCCATGTTGTAATGTATTAGAATTTCCTTCCTTTTTAATACTGAGTAATATTCCATTGTGTGTACATCCTACATTTTGTGTATCCATTCATTTGGGTATTGTGAATGATGCTGATATGACCATTGTGTACAAACATCTGTGCAATTTCTTGCTTTCAATTCTTTGAACATATAGCTAAAATTGAAGTTACTGTTTCACATGGTAGTTCTATGTTTAACATTTTGAGGAACCACAAAACAGTTTTCCACAGTGGATGCACCATTTTCCACTCCTTCCAGCAATGCACAAGAGTTCCAATTTCTCCACAATATACCAACACTTGTTATTTTGCATTTTTTGATGCTAACTATCCTAATGAGTATGGAGTGATATCTCATGTTGCTTTTGATTTGCATTTCCATAATGATTAATGATGTTGAGTATCTTTTTATGTACTTATTGGCCATTTGTATATCCTCCTTAGTGAAGTACCTATTTAAGTCTTTTTCCATTTTTGAATTGAGTTTTTGTTGTTGTGATTGAGTTATAGGAGTGTTTTCTGTATTGTGAACATTAATCCCTTATCAGATACATGATTTGCAAATATATTTCCCAATCTGTAGACATTGTATTTTGCTTTCTTAATAGTATCTTTTGATGCACAAAAGTTCTTAATTTGATGCAGTCCAATTTATCTATTTTTTCTTTTGTTGCTTGTGCTTTTGGTGTCATTATCTATGAAATGAAGGCCAAATCCAATGTGAGAATTATTTTCATCAATATTTTCTTCTGAAAATTTCATACTTTTAACTCTAAAGTTTAGGCCTTTGACCCATTTTGACTTAATTTTTGCATATAGTGTAATAAGAGAGTCCAACTTCATTCTTCTGCGTGTGGCTATCAATATCTACCAGCACTATTTTTTGAAGATACTGTCCTCTCCACCGAATGCTCTTAAACCTTTGTGGAAAATCTATTTTTCAAATATGTAAGGATTTATTTCTGACACAGTGTCTATTTCATTGGTTTATATGGCTAGTCTTCTGCAGTACCACACTGTTTAATTTACTGTAGGTTTATAGTGAATTTCAAAGTTGGAAAGTGTAAGTCCTCTAACTTCATTTTTTTTCAGGATTGGTTTGTCTATTTGTGGCTCTTGTGGTTCCACATGAGGTTGAGGATTGGATTTTCTATTTCTACAAAAAAGGCTGTTGGAATTCTGACTGGCATTGCATTGAGTGTGTAGATTGTTTTGGATAGTGTTGACATCTTAACCACCTTGTCTTCCTATCCATGAATATGGGATGCCTTTTCACTTATTTAGGTCTTCTTTAATTTCTCACAGTAATAATGTTTTGTAGTTTTCAGCATACAAATATTTCACCTCCTTGTTTAGATTTATTCTTAAGCATTTAATTCGTTTGGTTGCTCTTTTAAATAGAATTGCTGTCTTAATTTCATGTTCAGATTGTTCCCTGATGGTGTATATAAACACAACTGATTTTTGTGTGTTGATCTTGTATCCTGCAACTTTGTTGAATTTGGTTATTACTTCTAGTAGCTTTTTGTGGATTCTTGGAGCTTTTCTATATATAGGATCATGTCATCTGGGAATAGAAATAGTTTTAAGTTTTCCTTTCCAATTCGGATCCCTTTTATTTCTGTTTCTTGTGTAATATCCCAGGCTAGAACTTCTGGTACAATGTTAAAAAGCAGCAGTGAAAGCAGGCGTCCTTGTGTTGTTCCTGAACTTAGGGGGAAAGTTTTCACTTTCCCACATTGAGTCAGATGTTAGCTGTGGGTTTTCCAAAAATATCTTTTATTATGTTGAGGAATTTTCCCTCTATTCCTAGTTTTCTGAGGGTTTTTAGCATGAAAGAACATTGGATTTTGTCAAATTCCTTTTTTTGTGTAAGTCAAAATGAGCATGTGTTTTTTTGTCTTTCATTCTATTAATGTAATGTATTACATTGATTTCTTATACTGAGACTCCTTGAATTCCTGGGATAAATTCCATTTATCATGGTGAATATTCCTTTCAATATTCTGTTGGATTTGATTTTCTAATATTTTGCTGAGGATTTTTACATCTATATTTACAAGGGATCTTGGCCTGTAATATTATTTTCTTGTGGTGTCCTTATCCGACTTCTGTTTGAGGGTAAATCTGACCTCACAGAACCATTTAGGAAGTGTTCTTTCCTGTTCAATTTTTTGGAAGATTTTGAAAAGGATTAGTTTAACTCTTTAATTCTTTTTTAAGTGTTTGACAATTTATTAGTGCAGCTATCTGGTCCAGGACTTTTCCTTGTTGAGAGGTTTTTGATTACTAATTTAATCTCTTAATTTGTTGTAGGCCTGTTGAAATGTTCTATTTCTTCAGTCAGTTTTAACAACTTGTGTATATCAAGGAATTTATCAATTTCTTCTACGTTGTCTAATTTGATGGAATAAAATTGTTCATAATATCTTCCTTATAATCCGTTTTTTCTGTGTAAAGTCAGTAGTGTTCTCTCCATGTTCATTTCTGATTTTAGTTATTTGCATCTTCTTTTTGTTCTTTGCCAGTATGGCTAAAGGTTTGATAATTTTGTTCACCTTTTCAAAGAGCCAACTATCAGTTTCATTAATTTTTGTCTTTGTTTTTCTATTATCTGTTTTATTTATCTTTTCTGTAATATCCAGTATTTCCTTCCTTATGCTAGTTTTGGGTTTAAGTCACCTTCTTTTGCTGATTCTTTAGATATAAAATTAGGTCATTGATTTTAGGTCTTTCTTCTTTTCAATGTAGGCATTTACAACTATAAATTTCCCTCTGAGAACTGCTTTCATGACATCTCATAAGATTTTGTCTGTTGTGTTTTCATTCATTTTAAAATAATTTTTAAATTATCTTTGTTATTTATTCTTTGACCCTTTGGTTTTTAACTTGGATGCCATACAAAAACTCTACACCCTTATAGCTCCATTCTCCTTTCTGTTAATGATGTCACAAATTACATATTTATACATTGTGTTCCTAATAACATAGATCAGCAATTGTTTTTTATCCATTTTCTTTTTAAATCATTTAGAAAGTAAAAACTGGAGTTACATCCAAAAGTTCAATAATACTAGCGTTTATAATGGCCCTTGTTGTTACGTCTACTGCAGATGTTTAGTTCTTCATTTGATTTAGTGTTATTGTCTAGCAGCCTTTCATTTCAACTTGAAAGACTTCCTTTTGCATTTCTTGCAAGGCAAGTCTAGTGGTAATGATCTTGCCCAACTTATCTTTATAGGGGAATGTCTTAATTTTTACCTCATTTTTGAAGAAAATTTTGCCTGCTATAAAAATCTTGGTTTTAGAAAAGACAATTTTTTCTTTCAGCACTTTGAGAATATCAACCCACTGCCTTCCGGCCTCCAAAGATTTTGATGAGAAATTGGCTGATCATTTTATTGATGATCATTTATGTGACGAGTTGCTTCTCTATTGCTCCTTTCAAGAGTCTCTCATTAAATTTGCATCAACAGCTTGGTTATAATGTGTCTTGGTATGGGTCCCTGAGTTTCTCCTAGTTGAAGTTTATTAATCTTCTTGGATTTCTAGATTCATGTCTTTCATCATATTTGGGAGATTTTGAGTCATTATTACTGCAAATATTATTTTTGCCCATTTCTCTACTTCTTTGACTCCCACAATGTGTATATACTTCCACTTGATGGTATCTCAGAACGACCTTACGCTTTGTGCACTGTTCTTCACTTATTTTTCTTTCTGTAGCTCTGAATCAATAATTTCACTCATCCTTTCTTCAAGTTTGCTAATTCTTTCTTCTGCCTACTCATATCTGCTTTTCAATCCCTGACATGAACTTTTCATTTCGGTTATTGTACTTCTCAGCTCCAGTATTTTTTTTTTGGTTATTTTTATAATTTCTTTCTCTTTATTGATATTTTCATTTTGTTCTTATACTTTTTCTTCTCTTTATCAATGTATTCCTTTAGTTATTTGAGCAACTTTAAGACAATTGTTTCAAAGTTTTTTTTAGTAATTCCAACATCTAAGCTTCCTAAGAGATCATTTCTCTCAATTTATTTTGGTCCTTTGAATGAGCCATACTTTCATATATCTTTGTATGCCTTGTGATCTTTTTTATTCAACTGGACATTTGATTCTTATAATGTATTAACTCTGAAAATGAGATTCTCCCCTTTACTTGTGGTTTGACTTTTCTTTTTCTTTTCTTTTTTTTTTTTGGATTGTTGAAGGATGTCTCTTTGGTAGGAATCAGCCTGAGGTGAAAGCTATATAAGTTCTCAGACCTTTTCTGAGCCTCTGTCTCTCCTTGGACATGCATATGGCTTTCTAAATTCCACCATTATGTGTGAGTGTTTTAGAATGGCCTAATTATTTAATGTGTGTCTCCCAAACGGAGAAAAAAGGAAAAAGGCAGAAAAAATTGTGCTGCTCCTTTAAACATCCTGAAAGCTGCTTCAGTTAGTGGGGGTGGAAACAACTGTGGCCAATTTCCATGCCTCCACCTCAGTGATTAAAGGCAGGAATCAACAATCAGAATACAGAAGCCCATTATTTGGAGGATATAGTCCTTACTGCCAAATTTGGGTTCATCAAATCATACCAGGAATACAGGAATTTTGCTTGTCCCAGGGCTGGGAGATGGAGGATTTTAAGCTGCTGCTAGGCTAAAGGCTGGAATTGACCAATTTTGATTAATCACTATTTACTAGCCTAGCTTGCCACTGCAAGTTGGAAGTGGACAGATAGACTTCAGAGTTCCAATATATTTACTGCAGATAGTTTCTGCCAGTATAACTGTTGTTTAGGTTAAGAGACAGATCCTTGGTGCTTCCCATTCCACCCTGATGTTACCCCTAAGCATCATATTTTAAAGCAATAGAAAATTCAATATTTTTATGAAGATCCTTTTTAGATTAAATATTTAAGTGAGTACTGATTCCACAAACAACTTTTGAAAGAAATTTGGTTATAAATGTCAGTATTGTTATGATCATTTAGAACTTAAAATGACATGTATTTGTCTATTTTAACTAAAGCTAGAAAGGAAAAGTATCTCTGGTAGTGTAAGAACAACATTACTCAGTTATAATCTAGAATGTTGTCCATTTAAAAAAACATATTGTGTAGGAACATCGTAGAGGGAACGGCACAAATCTTTTACTATATTACTAAAAATTTTAACTGTTCAAATAGAAGATTTGTTATTTAGGAGTAAGCCAGCAATCTAAGCTGCTGGTTCCAGGCTCACCCAGGGCCTGGTCCAAAACCACTAATTAGAAGGAAATACAGTCGCGAGGAACCTTGTGAATTGAGGCAACATTTTTGAATATCTTTTCCTTTACTCTCTGTCATGTTAGTTTTATAGTGCATATATGACTCAGATTTAGGAAAAAAAAAAAAACAAGAAAAACAAAACAAGATTAGATTATATGGAAGCCTTAAAACCTATCCATAAAGCTGACAGAGTGTTTAAGATCACTGAATGATTTAGTTTTAGTCTATTATTTAAAGAAAATACCTCGATATGTTTTCCTGATAGTAATGCCACTTTTAAAGCAAGGTAGCAGTCAAATGTTTTTAGCTACCCTCTTCTAACATTTAATACGTTTTCTTTAAGGCTCAGTCAAATTGACACTAACAATACCAATAGCTTATCCTACATTTGTGAAGTACACTTTTAAGGAGACCTTTATGCATCAAAAAATAAGATTATCTGACCTTCTGTGGAATCTGGGCAAGGGCTGATGCAATCATGTTAGACTTTTCTTCTGTGAGGTTTTGGATCATTGACCCCAGAGTAAAGACCACAACTCCCTCTTCTCCAGAGCTCTGGACAAACTCTTCTAACTCCTGTAAAGAAAGCAGCCTTCGTAATATGAATGTCTATAGTTTACAAGAATAAAATAGTCACACACTTTTCTCAATGTGTCTGATATGAAAACAGTTCTGCATTTTCATATTAACCATTTTAGAGTACAGAAAATGACCTGAAATCACTGGTTATTAGGCAAATTAGAAATTATTTAATTGAAGCTTTCCACCCAGTATGTTCTAAACATTTTTCAGTTGTGTGTGTTTTTACAAATTATTGACTACTTGTTATCTTCTGCCATGTGCTCAGCTCTTTACATGTATCATTTAACTTAGATATATGGTGATTTTAAGAGATATGTCTACATTTGCAGATGAGAAGGCTGTCTCAGAGAAATTAAGTATTTTGTTCAAAGTTACACAGCAGTAGGTGGCAAAACCAAATTTCTAAATTAAGCTTGTTGATTGTAAAGCCAATGACTATATTCAATACTCTCTACTGCCATCCAACTCTCTCCACAATGCTCCAAATGAAGAAGTTTTGACTCCTACATTAAGATAAATAGCTCTGGTACTTCACTTCATATTTAGCCTTGGATACTAAGAAGATTATTGTTAACATTTATGCTGAATCACTCACTATAATGACATGCTAATGATATATTTACTTTTTCTTTTTTTTAATTTAAATTTTCTTTTATTTTGATTCCACTGGTAGTTTATATAAGCATCTATGAGGTAGACATATAACTTACTGACCAAAGAAGTAATACAGAAATAAGTATAATGCATTCTCTGGAGATAGTAATATTTTGGAAATGTATAGCTTTGTATTCAAAATAAAAATATCATATTTAATCATGTCGAAGTAAAAAGAAATCTTTTTTTTGTGTGTGTGAGGAGATCAGCCCTGTGCTAACATCTGCCAATCCTCCTCTTTTTTTGCTAAGGAAGACTGGCCCCAGGCTAACATCTGTGCCCATCTTCCTCCACTTGATATGGGACGCTGTGACAGCATGGCTTGCCAAGCAGTGAGTAGGTGCACGCCGGGATACAAACTGGTCAACCCCGGGCCTCCGCAGCAGAGCGCACTCACTTAACTGCACGCATTTAACCCCTTGCGTAACTCGGGTGGCCCCAAAAGAAATGTTTTCATCCTATGTCTAATACTAACCAAACTAAGGCAACCAAATAAGACAAGCAAAAAATTTGTGTGAATTGGAAGGGGAAGACATAAATTTTGTACATATGTACATGACAATATTGGGGAAACTAAAATAACCAATATGCAAACTATTATAAATAATAGTTGGTAAGATTCATAATCACTACACAAAAATCAATACATTTATTCACAACAGCAATAACCAACCTGAAAGTTTAAGATGAGTCATCATTCACTATAATGATTAAAAATGTAAACTGTTTAAGATAATAACAACAATAAACAAACACATAGAGACAGAGATTGGATTCGTGGTTACCAGAGGGGAAGTGGGGAGGGAGGAGAGCGAAAGGGATAATTCAGCACATATGTGTGGTGATGGGTTGTAATTAGTATTTGGGTGGTGAACATGATGTAATCTATGCAGAAATAGAAGTATAATGATGTACACCTGAAATTTATACAATGTTAAAAACCAATGTTACTGCAATAAACAAAAAATTAAAAAAAAAAAAGAGTACAGATACATGCACTTTTACTGAAAAAAGTAAAAGTAGGATGTGTGTATCTATCTATCTATCTATCTATCTATCTATCTATCTATCTATCTGTCTATGGAGAGAGATTTATTTTAAGGACTTGTCTCCCATGATTAAGTCTGGCAAGTCCAAAATCTGCAGGGTCGGCCATCAGGCTGGAGATCCAGAGAATATCCAATGTAGTTTCAGTCGGAAGTCTGTCTGCTGGCAGAATTTTCTTTTGCTTGGGAGATGTCAGACTTTTGTTCTATTCAGGCCTTCAACTAATTGAGTGAGGCTCATTCACATAATGGAAAGCAATTTGCTTTACTTAAAGTCGACTATTTAAATGTTAATCTCATCCAAAAATACCCATGCAGAAATATCCAGAAAATATTTGACTAAATATCTGGGTACCTAGCCCTGCAAGTTGACACTTAATATTAGCCATCACATTGTGGTTATAGATGGATTGACTTAATATGTAAAGCTATCAATCTTTTTAAATAAATTTTCAATTATGGCATAATTTTCTTGAGAAATTGGCAAATATATTTACTTTATATAGAATAAAAGGAAATACTGGGAACTTCTTAAACCAGATAATAATAAATAATACAAAATGAATCCTGCTAACCTCCTAATAGACAAAGTGAACAATAGAACAATGTAGTGAGTCCAGAAAGAGAACCATGAGTATGTAAAAGCCTGCTATATATAAATGTCATATCACAAGTCACTGAGACAACCTATGAGAAAACTTCACATTGATTAGATTATTTACTTAGGTAGTGCTGTAAAAATATACTTACTACTCAGACAAAAAAAGGAGGTGAATCTTTACCTCACATTCTACATTACTGTAAAATCTAAATGGATTAAATGAATCCATATTAAAGTAAAACATTATAATTTTTAAAATAAAATATAAAAGAATATCTTTATAATCTTAGAAACGGAAAAATATTTTAAACGAAAATTTGAAAAGTATAAACTATAAGGTAATAAAGGATAGATTGGATTACATCAAATTTAGTACATTATGTTGAAAAAAGGAAATCTGAGGTAACGCTAACAGATACATAAATTCATAGAGGAAGATATTTGCAATGGCTAAAACAAGGATTAATACCTAGATATTCTAGGTTATGGAAAGAATTTGTATCACTTGACAAAAAAAAAAAAAAGATCGACTATCCAAAAGTAAATTGTAGCAACTATAAGAGTTTAATGGAGAGAAAATCAGAATAACTGGTAAGTTTCTAAAAAGTTGTTCAATGTTGCTAAGTGATATTACCAATGAAATACAACAATGTGATACAACTTTACCTCTGTGAAACTGAAACATATTAGAAAATAGAGCACTATCACTATATGATGTGGAAGTTGGGACCACTCAAGCACTCCTGATGAAACTATACAATTGTACATATATTCAGTGAAATTAAACGCACAATGAAATTAAGTATGCATGTGCCGCATGACCCTACAATCCCACTATTGGGTATGTATCTCAAGTATATGCGCAGGTCCATAATGGAACATATTTGAAATTTTTCTTCAAAATAGTCTTTGGCATAGGATAAAGATGGAGACATCTAATTGTCCTTTATGGGAAATAAATAAATAAAATGTGGTAAATACATACACCAAAATTCTCTGCAACAGGCACAATGAATGAAATATATTTACAAATAGAAACTTGGATATATATAAAAAATACAGTAATAAAAGGAAGAAAATGTGAATTATAATTAAACTCATATCAGTGCTATATGTTTTTCAAAGATCCACAGTTATCTATGTAACCTGGAATGAGAGAATAAATATTGTAAGGACACCTAGAAATGGGTGAGTATGGCTCTTTCTCTAGTTTTTCTGTAGATGGGGCCAAAAATTTAAGAAGAAAAGAATCTGTTACAAAGACAAGTTTTGGATATTCTTTTTTTCTTTTCATGTTTAAAATGATCTTATTACTTTGCCATGGCTGCCTGATTATTCATAAGGTTTTGACTCAAGGGAAGAAGCTATGTGCAGTTGAGTCTATCTAAATTTGTCCTAATTTACTGCACAGAGATTCAGAGACCAATGTAGTTAACAAAAGGGCTTCCACTTATTTATCATATGGCAGTAACTCAAAAACAGCACACAAATTTGGTTATTGTTCGTGGAAAGATTCAAATTTTACCTGGTTTTACCATCATGCTTCTGTCTATTAAAACCTCGAACCTCATGATTACTTTACTTTTCACCTTCACTATGGGTTACTTTGAATGTTTACATTGACTCTTTTGTTTGTGTGTAACACGTAGATTTAGTGTCCTTAATCTGCTTTTTATAGTTAGGAATGTTATTAAAAATCCTGAAATATTTTAATACCAAAATTAACATAAATTTTTCCAAAAATGAAGATTATCAAAATACTTGCTATATTAAAGAATTTTTAATGTCGTCATAGACTTAGGAATCAATTTTTTCATGAGCGTTAAAAGCATGTGCATTATTTGAATGCAGAGATTGTGTTTGTTCTTTTGTAGTGTCCCCAAGGCCTTACTGTGCTCTAGTGGGAGGAGACAGGGGAAATAAGATTCCACTGGAAATGCTTTAAAGCTCTGACACTTTCTGGGTATTCTTAAAATTCATACAAAAAAACATCAGATAGATCCTTAGTGCCACAGTGTTGCTAAAATAAATAAATACGTAAATGCACACAAACATATTATATATGCGTGCATTATCATATCAATAATAAGGCAATATGAGGGTTTTGAATATATTTAAATTATTAAGATATAGCGAATATGCATACAAGTAAATCTCACATTACCCCAACAGTTGACTTCTATGCTCTTAGAATTGAATCTTTACAATGCATAGATCTTTTATCAAAAAGTATGCAATAATATGAAGAAGGCTCAGAATATTTAAGTGACTACTTTCTGAGCAAAAGGAATGGTTTAGAAAAATATATAATGGACATCCAGTATTATTTAACTTGTCAAAATTAAATTAATGTACTCATATAACAAGATAAAATTAAGATTTTTGTTACATGACTTAAAAATTCCCAAATATTTTTAGCCTCTTCAATGAGTATTTCATATACTTCCTGGTCTTACCTGAAACTTGGTTCTTGCCCTACAACACTTGAGGTATACTCCGCTCATTTTTGCCTATCTGCATCAGGATCCAGACAGAGGCTTGATCTGTGTCCTCCCCTCTTCTAACTGCATATCCAACCATTTCCTTTTCTATTCTTTAAAGAATATCCTCATCCTATGTGTTCAATGAGTACTATCAACTCCTCATGCTCTCTATGCCAACTGTCAGTTTCAGGAACACCCCTGTTCACAGAAGCCTTTGGCATCTGGCTCATAGTCTTCTGCTCCACCCCAAGTTACCCAGGATGACTTAAACAGTACAAAATCATGTCTTCTTATTCCTTGACATCCTTAAATTAAAACCATTGCCTTTGGAACAGGCAAAGCTATGGAGGCAGTAAAAAAAATCAGTGAATTCCAGGGATTTAGGAGCAGGGAGGGATGAATAAGCGAAGCGCAGGAGGTGTTTAGGGCAGTGAAACTACTCTGTATGATACTATAAGGGGGGATACATGTCGTTATCCATTTATCCAAACCTGTAGAACGTACACACAAAGAGTAAACCTTAATGTAAACTATGGACTTTGGTTGATACTGATGTGTAAATGTTGGTCCATTGATTGTAACAAATGTGCCACACAGGTGTGAGATATTGATGGTCGGGGAATTTGTGTGTGGGAGGAGGGTAGGAGGTAGGTGAAAACTCTCTGTACTTTCTGTTCAATTTTGCTGTGAATGTAAATGGATCTAAAAATTGTCTAACTAAAAAATCACAAATGATACATAGACCTGTCCCCTGAGATTAAGACACTGAATTCAGTAGCTGCTTACTAGACATTGCATTGGCGCCTCAAATTCAGCATGCCAAAGTATGAACACATCATTTTCCCTCAAAACTGTTCCTCTTTAGTTCCTCACCTTAGTAAATACCAATATTCTCTAATAAATTTCCCACACAAAGAAACAAATGAAGGAAAGACACACAAACAAAAAGCCAAGGATTCATTCTGGAACTCTCTCCCTTAACATCTACTTCCTGCCAATCACCAAATCCTATCAACTCTCTTTGTAAAAACTTCTTAAACTTCTGCAATTCTACACAAAATCAGTATCATATTATAGTTTAGATTTCTATAATCTCTTTCAGGACTATTGCAACTGTATCTTAGCTCATTTCCTTGCTTTAAATCTTGCTCCATTCCAAAAAATTCAGTAGCTAAGATTTATGAATGGGTAAGCCAAGATCTAAATAAACAAATTTACAACATGTTACTGCTTAAAATTTATGCATTGATCCTTCACTGACATTAAATTTGAAGCAAAGAATATTTAATATTTCCCATTTGTTTTTTCATAGTCTGACCCTCAGTTGTCTCTCCAGTCTCATTTCTCTTCTTTATTCAACCAAACAGCTCATAATTACTGCACTTCTGCCAGATTTTTTGGATTGATTATCATATCTCTATTTGGTCTATTCTCAAATTGTTACATTTTGCTCACTATTGTCCATTTCTAAGGTGACATGATGCTAAATAAAATGCGATTACAAAAATCTCAGTGGCTTAAAACAAAAGTTTATTTCTTTCCCATGCCATATGTCCATCTAATGAACTGCAAATTGTACTTATATTCTTTAATCGAGAACTCAGGTTAACAGAGTAGCCAATATTTGGAATACAGCCTGTTGACATATTAAGGGAAAAGAGAATTCTGGAATTAATATTCTGGAATTAATTATCACTTTAACCTGATAATTAAGTGTTGGGCCTGGAAGTGATCCATGACATTTTAGCTCATAGTCATTGCCCAGAGAGTACCTGGTTCAACTAAACTCAGGGCTAGTAATTTCATTCCTGTCAAATATCTGGCATACTTGACGAACATCACTAATGGTTGCCATGATAAAGTTACAAGATTACCTATGGCAGTCTAACAGTCTAAGAGAATAATGTCCATTAACTCCTGTGTCCATGTTTTCAGTTTGAGGGTCAAACATTATAAATAATAAACCAGAAATCATTCCAGAAGACAAATACTCAAACAAGCAAAAATAAGGAGATTTAATTACCTTAGGTAGGGGCTTTGCAGGCTTGCAGTGTAGTCCTCCAACAAATTCAAAATTAGGTAAATAAGGGTAAGGAAATTCAAAATCCCAGGAGGTTCGAATCAACCACATATCAGCTCTCCCCATAGTCTCACATAATGTGGTAGGTTTTCCTGAATATAAATGAAGGGTGATAGAGGAAAAACAAACTGACATGTTAAGTGGAAAATGTTTTACCATCCCATTTTTTAAGAAAAATCTGTAAAGAACCAAGATTGGGCGTGTATAACCCATGTGAAATCTATTGACCTTCCCCCTCCGAGAGTATACCATAGTGAGATTTTGAATAACCAAACAAGGGATTTAAGTCTAGAAGAAGGCCAAAAACCTTCTGACAATAGAGTCTTTCTGCTTGAACTAAGCCTGAGCCCTAGTCCACGCTCAGAATTGGCAAGTTCTCCCAGCGGGAACTAGAAACTCAGGCAGTGATCCTCAGCTCACTATGGTAGAATGTCTCCTCCTCTTCTGGAATTCCAATTTATCTCATCCTTGCTGCTCCAAAAGCCTTTTGATATCTTTGAAAAATGTCTTTTGTAATTTATCCATCTTTTCCTAGCGTTTGTGAGTGTGCTGCCACAACTAATTACATCCTACCAGGAATGGAAATCTTTGAATAATTTTTTTTTTTTTTTTTGCTGAGGAAGATTAGCCCTGAACTAACATCTGTTGACCATCCTCCTCTTTTGGCTGAGGAAGATTGGCCCTGGGCTAACATCTGTGCCCCTCTTCCTCTGCAGTATATATAGGATGCCTGCCAGAACATGGCTTGATAAGCAGTGCATAGGTCTGCACCCAGGATCTGAGCCTGTAAACCCTGGGCAACTGAAATGGAGTGCGTGAACTTAACCATTACGCCGCTGGGCCAACCCCATTTTAATAAATTTTTATATATAAAATAAATAAAGTGATTATCTTCTTGCTATACAAAATGGAAGTCGCTGTTTCACAAGATTTTGTTCTCTTTGGTGAAGATATAGCACTTCTTAATAACCTGTTGGCAAAATATTTGCTATTCTGACATATTTATGTGGCAAACAGTGAACAAGGGGTATCTTTCAACTGAAGTGGCAACCTTTAGGGTTTAACTGAATAAGAACTCAAATTCATGTCTCTGAATTAAATCTTTTTTCCTTAGTTTGGAGCCAGAGCTTCATTTCTAAATTCTATTCAATTATTGTGGAATAAGGAAGCTTACCCAGAGATTTGGTGTCCTTTTAAAATATACGTTCAGTATTAATGATATGAGGAAATTATAACTACTATATGGCTTCCCATTATATGATTTTTTTGAATATTCTCCTTGATGTTCTAATTACTCTAAAGTATTGATCAGAAAATATGAGGGATTTTGAACCGACCAGGAAAATCTATCTCTATAAGAGATCACAAGCAAATATCAAAAATTTATGGGTTTGATTCCGGTAATGACAATGGTATTTAAAATCCAGTTGTATATTCAGTACATTTCCCATTTTGGTGCCTTATTGCTGTCAGCTGTGGGTATAATCTTATACTCTTTGTGTGATGCTTCCCTCCCTTACCTTTTTTATGGCCATTTTATTGAGATGTAATTTATATACTATACAAGGCTTACTTTTAAATACACACGAGTAGTTTTTAGGATATTTGTAAAGCTGTGCAACCATCACCACTATTTAATTTTAGAGTGTTTTCATTACCCCCAGAAGAAATTCCACATACATTGGCAGTCATTCTCCATTTCCCCCCTTCACAGCCCCTGACAACCACTGATCTATTTTCTGTTTCAATTTGTCTATTCCAGAATAATCTTATTTCATAGAAATGAAATCATACACTATGTAGCCCTATGTGCTACCTTCTTTCAATTAGCATAATATTTTCAAGATTCATCCATGTTGTAGTGTCTCTCACTACTTCATTACTTTTTCCTGCTGAATAATATTTCTTTGTATGGATAGACTTAATTTGTCTATCCATTCATCAGTTGATGAACTTTTGGATTGTTTCCATTTTTGGTTACTATGAATGATGCTTCTATCAGCGTTGATGTATACATTCATGTGGAGATATGGTTTTATTTATCTTGGATATATATCCAAGAGTAGAATTGCAGAGTCATATGGTTTATTCATTATCTTTCATAACAAGATAATATCTTTTCTTGTTAAATCTTTACTCCTTAGATAATATCTAGCCTGCTTAATGCATCTTATTGAAATGAAGACAATATAGTACAGAAGGAGTAAAAGACAGTGGATTTGGATCAAGACATTATGAAAAAATGTTCCAAATTTGGAAATCAAAAGAAACTACAACATGCCCTTTTGATACCATGCTGGGGCATTGTTGAGCAATGAATAAAGGATTATTTAATTCCATAAGAGAATGTGTCTATGTTTTACTGTTATTTATTATTGATTTACTATGGATTTTTGAGTCCAGATACAGTAACGTTAAATTTTAACTTGTATATTTCTGTCTGGTAGAACAAAATCACCCTCAAATTATGATTTTATTGTGTATAAGACATTAACTAATTTTGTGTACCTAGTAGTATTATCTTAATATTCCTTTTTTTCCCCAAAATATTTGTGAATAGTTCCTCAAAATATTTTTTGAGCCAGATTTTCATCTTAATGATTTCTTTCTCAGTGATTTGAATGTGTCTGTGGAATGATTCACTTGATAATTCTATAAGAGTTATGAGTTATATTTTTAAAAATTTGAAAAATGTATCTATAATACATTATAAAATGAAGACCCTAAATTCTGAATAACCAATGGAAATCTATATTAATTGTATTTTTAAATCTATGAGAGTCAAAGAAATGTTTCCCTGCTATTTATCAATCCTTCATTCTTCTTTCTCAGATTATTCATATATTCTGAAAAAGAATACTCTAGAGTGCCAAGGGTTAGGAAAGAATCAGAGAGAGAGTCATATCCCATAACTAATGCTTCACTGTGTAAGAGGTTCCAAAACTGAGTACCAAACTGCTGGAATCAGAAGTAAATAAATAATTTAGATCCAGCAGCAGATCAGTCACTGCCTAATCCATGACTCAGAGAATGTCTCCAGGATGAGAATCTAAGTTATCTTTTCTCAGTTTTGCCTTTTGGTGCTTGAACTCTGACCATGGATAAATGATGGGCAGTCTCTGCCCACATTTTTTTTAGGGTCAAGTCAAGAAGAAATAAGCACCTGCTTCTGTCACAGAATTTCCAGAAAAAGTCTCAATGAAATGTGTTGGCCTTGATTAGGTCATATGTCTTCTTGAACCCATAGCATATTCCTGGGCAGCATATTTCATTAAAAGCACTCAAATCTTCTTGTGAGTTGGTGAGAAAATAATTTCTCAGAGAAAATTTAGAACAGATACCAGAAGAAAGGAAATAGAATGTTGCTTTATAAAATAAGAGATCACAAATATAAAGGAAAACTTTACTTTTTTTAGGAATAAACTTTAAACTTTAGTAATTATAAGCTATTAGAGCTTCTTTTGTCAAAATTAGTAACAAGGAAAACAGTCCTAAAATTCATATGGGACCACGAAAGACCTCAAACAGCCAAAGCAATTCTGAGGAAAAAAAGACAAAGCTGGAGGAATCTCACTTCCTGATTTCAAACTGTAATATAAACCTATAGTAATCAAAACCATATGGCATTGGCATGAAAACATATGCAAGACCGATTGAACAGAATCAAGAGCCCCTAAATAAATCCAAGCATATATACTCAACTAACAATTCACAAGGGAACCAAGACTACCCAATGGAAAAAAGTCAGTCTCTTTAGTAAACAGTGCTGGGAAAATTGGATATTCACGAGCAAAAGAACGAAACTAGACCCCAATCTTGTTCCACTCGCAAAAATTAACTCAAAATAGAATAGAGACTTAAATGTAAGACCTGAAATGGTAAAACTCCTAAAAAAACAGTGAGAAAAAGCTTCTTGACATTGGTCTTGATGACAATCTTTTGGATATGATGCCTAAAGCATATGTAACAAAATTAAAAATAAACAAGCGAGACTACGTCAAACTAAAAATCATACGCATAGCAAAAGAAATGATTAACAAAAGGAAGAGATAACCTAGGAAATGGGAGAAAATATTTGCAAACAATCTCTAATAAAGGGTTAATATCCAAAATACATAAGAAACATACAACTCAATAGTAAAAAAACAAATAATCCAATTAAAAAGTGAGCAAAAGACCTGAATAGATATTTATCCAAAGAAGATATTGAAATGGCCAACTAGTGCATGAAAAGATGCTCAACATTACTAATCATCAGGGAAGAGCAAATCAACACCACAATGAGCTATCATTTCATACCTGTTAGGATAGCTATCATCAAGTAGACAAGAGATAACAAAAGACGGCAAGAATGTGGAGAAAAAAGAACGCTTGTGGAGTCAGGAAGTCAAGATGGTGGCGTAAGCAGACTCTGAACTCAGCTCCTCCCGCAGACACAGCCAATTTACAACTATTCATGGAAAAATTACCCCTGAGACAGAACTGAAAACTGGATAAGAGGAACTCCTGCAACAATGGACAATCCTAACTGAGGTGGAAGAGGCAGAAACTCCCTTCCGGAGACGAAAAACGCCCCCTTCACAAGCCGCCAGTTTCATGGCCGCCAGGAGCAGCTCACACGTTCGCAGCGGGGCCCTGAGCCAGGGGCGCCACCGCTGTGGGCATTTTGTGGGCCCAGCACAATCGAGATGAGTGGTACAATATCTGACTTTGCCTGCTACTAAAGCATTGGGGAGCACCCCCAGAAAACCTTGTTCACAAAGAAACTAAAACCGGCCCTTAAAGAGCCTGCACGCAAACTCACCCATTTCAGAAAGCATCCTAAAATCACCAGAAAGAAAGGTGCACAGTGATGTGGTGAAAAGAGACTTATCTAGTGGGCCCCGGGTGCAACTCGGTGGGAGGTGAGACCTCTCCAGGGACTGGGACATTGGCAGCGGCCATTGTTGTGCCCTGGTGTGGGACTGCTGACACAGATGCCATTGGAGTTCTCCCTGGGGCCTGCTAGCCCAGGTCTGCCCCACCCGCTGGAGCACCAATTTAGTCCAGCTCAGCCAGGGCAGGCAGCCCACCCTAGAGACTGGCCCCACCC